TTGAAGTTTCTAGGGGAGTTGGGGTGGAGGGGAGAGGACAGAGAGAGGATAGAAAAATAAAGATAAGAGACAAACGCTGAGGTCAGGTATAGCCCTCTTCCTGCTCTCTCTGGATGGGAGGAAAGGAACTTTTCAATCACTGTAGCATATTTATTTATACATTTGGCAGGTTGATGTTTTGTGGCAGCCTTTTTGCCTCGCAACATATTGCTGTGATTGTCTCAGAGTTTGATGTTCTCTGCTTGCTTCAGGTGCTCTTTGTTTTCCAATGGGCCTTGCCTCACCCCACACATGTGATCAATATTCAACTTCAGCAACTCCCTACAGTTATCAGAAACACACACACACACACACACACACACACACACACACACATACCACCCAAAAGATGTTTATGGAATTTTTAAGTCTAGGTTTTAAGTTTATTAAAATATTGGAGGAAATACTTGACCTAGTTGTTTCATCTTCTATGAATTATGTATTAATATTTTCCCTCATCTCTCCCATTGGAGTAAAAAAATGGCCTGAAAAAAATCACTATTTTAAAAAATTCCAAGATCCCATTTCAAGTGGAAATCTCAAATTGCTTCATCAAATATTACTTACTACTCTGGCCTTTCAACTTTAACCAAGGGCTCTACCACTGAGCTGCATCCCTAACCCTCAAACTTCATTCATCAAATACTTATTACGTGCCAGGTGCTGTTACTCAGCACTTTCACATTATTGCCTGATAATCAAGGGTAGCAATTCCTGAGAATATAATGAAGTTATAGTTGCAATGAGTCTATTTCAAATACTGGATTGGAAGATCCTTACTTATGTATACATTTATTTCTGTTTCATTAGCCTTAGGTTATATTTAAGGTATAAAGATTTATATAGAATTTTAGGATTTTATTACCGTCATCTGGAATTTAGCTATGAAAAGAGTACTATGTTGAGGAGAGGCATGAGAAAGAGATTAAATAAATGTTTATTTGGTGTAATCCCAGCACTTGGGAGGCTGAGGCAGGAGAAGTGCCTGGGCTACATAGTGAGTTTAAAGTCAGCCTAAATTATGAAGTGACACCTTGTCTCAAAAAAATTCATTTACATTATTATATTTTTACAAAATCCTAGTACAGAAAAAGAAAGATAAAATTTAGACCTATCCATCACACAAGTGCAATAATTGTCATACTGTATATAGAGTGAACATTTTAGTTGGCTTTAAGTATTTCCTGATACTGTGTGTTTGTTTTCTTAAGTGAAGAACCACAAGATCCTGACAAGTGAGATATGGCCTTTCATTTGTTGCACCAACAATAGAAAATCTAACTGGCACTGGAGGCACATGAGTCCATCAACTAAGAGCCCTGACAAACCCTGAGAAGTCTGAAGCATTGGTAGCTAAAGTAATGTTAAGTAATACATGAGGTTTTTGAGAAAAATAAGATCTCAAAACATATCTTGGATATATAAACTGCCTGGAAAATATTTGGTCCAGTAAGTGCAAATAGGGAAGCTGTGAGCCTTTTCAGGGCCCAGGAGGAGACATTGTTGCCTGGAGCTGTGGCTCTGCTGACAGCTGGCTCTCGTGCAGGGCAAGGACCTCACAACACTGCATCACCAGGAAGCACTCAACTGTGAATAAAACCAGGAAGACAAGACTCACATTGTCGTTTCAAAAGGGTTGAAAACTCATTTTCATTATATGGATGATACTCCAATATGACCATTCTTACATCCTCACATATTCTGCACTCGCGGTGTTTTTCCTCAGACCTCTCCTACCTCATTTAGAAGACAGGCAACTTAAGGCACAAAGCTCCTCAACCTGTTCTTTCCAGAGCGGGAAATCCGAGACGCACTTGTCCTTTATTAAACTAAATGTCACAATTGTGAATCATCATGAAGGAAGCTTATTGTATTCTGAAGCTGCTCCAGTGGCTGCAAATCTCCAAGCTTCTGGTATAAACGAGAATTTGCACATTAGAGTTACAGTAGTGTCTTCTTCATGTAGGTATCTTATGTTTCAAATTGCACCAAAAAGCAGTTATTCTGAGACATGGAGGCAAACCCTCCCTATAAATATGTTGCTGCCCAGAACAACAGGTACTTTTGTTTGTTCACCACCCCAACAAATCTATGCATACTCCTCCATTTTTGTACCATTTAAGGAATCATATTTTTGGCCTAAAAATCTCACAACCCAAGGTCAGTGTTGCCTTCAAAGATAATGATGGTTTCCATTTACTGAGCAGCTATTGTTTCATTTAACAATTATAAGAATTCTGTGCAGCAGGAGAGCCCTTTCCTATTTTAAGGACATGAAAATGAAGAAGTCAATTATCTTGGATAAGACCACAAAGTTAAGTACCAAATACATCGAAGATTTAGGCTCTGGTGTAAATTCAAAGCCTGTATGATCTGAATTGCAAAAAGCAAAATAAAATAAAAGACACACACATACACACACACATACACACAGAGCCCATCACCACCAAAAGTTGATATAGAAATGATATTAAATTCTGAGAAAGAATTCCTTGTCCCTTGCTTCTCCAAGCTCAACATTTTCAGTTACTCCAATCCTTCTTTTTATATTGTTAGAGACATTCTCCTCATCCTGGTTACTGTCTTCTAGATCTACTTAAATTTTCAAAAGTCATCTTAACACCAGAACAAAACACAGTGTTTCAACTGCTTCTACAACAGCAAAGACAAGAACACCAATCTCTCTTGGTAGAGACAACATCAGAACATTAGTCTCTAATGTCTAGTATTGTCTGTACTTGGTCCCCACCCCACAGTAGCACTTACACATCCATCACTGCAGCTGGCTATGGTGCTCATGCTTAGAATCTTGGTCACACTCTTCTCTCTTGGCACCTGCATTCAGCAAGATTCTGTGGTCCTCCTTATCAGAGTGGTCTCTGAGATGGGTCTTTCTGCAGCCCCTACTCTTATGTAATTGCTCCAGGACCCACTGAAGGTTCTAGTTTACACTGCCTCAGTCTGCTCCAGGCTACACTGTTGCTGATCACCTCTCAGGGCACATTCTCACACCAAAGGGACAGCTCTCAAAACTGAAATCTAAAATGAGCAGAAGACAAAGTTTGCAATGTCCTCATTTTTTCTAGTTGGCTTTTCTTAATTCACTCCACTCGAAAATTTCTTACTTTAAGTTGATTTTATTTCTATTACAATACTGCGTAGGTTCTTGTAATCTTAAGTATATTTGTTTATCCCAATCCAAACATGGAGGTAAAAGCATTAAATTTTTATCACAAGTATAGCAGAAGCCAGCCATGTACATGCCCACAATCCCAGCTACCCAGGAGGTGGAGGCAGGAGGATTGAAAGTTCAAGCTAGCCTGAGCAAATTAGTGAAATTCTAGGTCTGTCTCTAAATAAAACATTTATAAAAGGGTCAGGGTGTGGTTCAGTTGTAGTTGTTTGCCTTCCATACTGAACACCTGAAAGTTCATGCCTCTCATTCATAAAGATACAACTTGAACCTCATCTCTTTCTATAGAACCTCCTCATTACTCTCTGTGCCTGGCAATTTCTCCTGCCTCTAACTTCTGTGCAAGACACTGCAAGATCCTTGAAGTATCTTTGTCTAGAAAACGAACAGCTCTGCTATAGTAGATTGCATTATATGCTCCCTTTGTTTGGGTTAGTGCTGACATTATTGGAAGACTGGGATCCTTTAATCATCAGTGCCCAGTGGCTCAGTAAGGTCACCTTGAAGGTTGTTCCAACAACAAACTACCTCAGCCCAGCTGTTCAAAGCAGGTGTCTTACCACAAACAGGTAATGTTTTAAGATCATGGACAGAGTCGTGTAAAAGCTAATTATAAACAACTGAGTGGAAACTGAAAGGGATGAATAATTGTGGAGACCAGGCTTTGCAATTTCATTATAATGACCATTTGGGAACTGGACCAACATTCTGGAATCCTGGGATATCAGTAAAAAGAAAATAAGATTTGCTTCATTGTGTATGGAGTAAGTTTTTGCAGGATTATGAAGAATAATATTACATGATGACTTGGATTGAATATAAGGACATACAGAGTGATTTTAAAGGCTGTGACCATCAAGAACTTCCAGAGGAACTGCCAGTGAAGCCTGCAGAGTCTACAATTCGGACATCAAGGTGCGCAGCAGAGAGTGCCCAGGCTTGGATGTGTCCCTTGCTCTTATCCATATTCTTATAATGGCTCTGAGACCTGAAGCAGACCACTGTCTGTGGCTGTTTTTTAATAAGAAGGCACTCAGTTTCACAATATCTAATACCATTTCCAACTCTAAAACTCTGTTTCCAAGCTATTCTTCAGACAAAATAGCTTTGTTTTCATTTTAACATATTTTTAATTTTAGACAACCTCATGTCAATAAATAATTCTATAAAAAGATAAGGTACTTTAAATCAATCAACCTCTCTCAAGTGTGTACACGTACATATCTATTATATACATAAAGTTTATTATCCATGACTCCTGGGTTTTGAAAGATGATTTTTACTTTACACTTGTTAGTTTCCTTCCCTATTGTAGTTTTCTACTTTATCAATTTGTAGGACTAGAACATATGAAGTTAAATTAAGCTCATTAATGTAGTTTAATTCAAATTAAATTGTTCCTCCACTTTTTTTGTAGATAGCTTTTCTCTGGCGGTACTGGAGGCTGAACCTAGGATCTCATGCATGCTAAACAAGCACTCTGCCACTGAGTTTCGCCCCCAGCCCTGTAGATGGCTTTGGATAAAAAGTTGGAAAGTCCTTTGAAGTGATGGAGCACTCTCCCTTTGTTCTAGCTTCTTTGTGTGGATAGTGGCAAGGCTTTATAAAAGGAATATTTAATGAACTTCATATGCACGAGTGACTCTGAGTTCTTATTTTCAGTTTCCAGTGCCTTTTAACATATGCTGTAAATAGCCGAGATCCAAGAATCCTCATCTAAGTTATGAGCCAAAACAAATGATCAGGTTACACCTGTTTGGCTTATACTCCCTTGGAAACCACTAGACTCCATTTTCCTGGGCTTTAAAGAACTAGTTCTCTCTCAGGGAAATAATGAAATCGATTCATACTTATTAAAATCAAATCAATAACCAACTAGATCTCTTCTAAATCTTCACATCTGTCGCAAGAGGTAAGTTAAGCTTATTTTCTTATAAGATTTGTCTCTTTAATGGGAAAGTTGCATTTGTTATAATTGGATAGTCATTACTTCTTTCTAAAATGTTTCAGTAAAAAAGTAATCTTTATCACAAATTTTAATGTATTGTCTTTCAGCTTTGTGCCATAAAGAATGCCCTTTTTGGATAAGCTTTAAGGAAGTAAAGTTGTCCGTTTGGAATGTGACACTGACTTCAGGTCTGTCTGAATCTTTGGCCAAGGAAGAACTTTTAGCCTAAGTGGAGTGTATGGCTGACATGATGTGCAGGACAAGCAGAGGAGGGGGAGGTAGAGGAGCAGCCCAGGACTTTTCAGTGACCTAGGCTGTGAGGACTGAGAACAACCTGAGTTAGCACTTTTCCTTATAGGAGATCTTCTAGAAACAGCAATACACATGTTCGCACAGGGAATTGAAATACCTTGCAAATGATGAATATACACAATCCTTGTCTTGTGCATGTCTTTTATTGTGTTCAGTGTTTCTCTTGGACTCCTAGTAATGATAATTTATTTTTTAGCACAGTTTTACTTACATGAATGAAACCTAAAACTAGATGTAAATTCCTTAGAGTTATGGCTTTTGTGTATCTACATTTACAAAAGAAAAGCCAAACATCACAAAGCCAATAAAGTAGAATTAAATTCTAGGGAACAAAAGATATTGCTTCGCTGAAATTAAATTACTAGTCATTAAGGAGATCAGCTACAGGCTGCAGAAGCTTTGGTTCTTTGAGACTGAGCCTGCTTATTCCAAGAGCTAGGTGATACCTTTTCACCCGCCACTGAACTCTATTCAAACTACAAGCAGATTTCATTCCTGCTGCGCACTCATCTGTCGTTTCTTCCTGTGACTTTCCATGAAAACACTCCATGTTTCTCATAGGCCTAGATAATTACGAGTTGTGGTACTTAGTCCCAATATGTTTTGAAGCACAATATAAGCATTTTTTGCTGTGTGCAAAGGGCCAGGTAGGAAATATTATAAGCCTTGAGTGCCATACTGTCTCTGTAACAACTACTCTGCAGCTGTAGTATGAAAGCAGTGATAAACACTAATAAAGGAACTGAGAGAATTATGTCTCAAGAAACATTATTTACAAAATAAGAGGTGGACTGGTTTGGCCTGAGGGCTGTGGAGTTTGCTGAATCTTCATAAAAGAAAGGACACCATTGCTAAAATCTTGCAGCAGTTCATGGTTATGAGCTAGTCATCTGGTATTTTTTGTTTTTTTGTGTGTTTTTTTACAATGATACATTTATAAACCTTCCAAAAATCTTTGTGGATATGATAAAAGACCTTCGGGGAACACAGATCCTGAGTTTGAAGACACAGCTTTAGAGATTTTGCTAGTAAAACGTTGCCAGAAGTTAAAGATGCCTTCTATCCAAACAGGGAAGTAAAGGGCTTGCAGGGTCTGCAGATATAGCGGGACTCAGGCAGAGAGAAGCCCGTGAGAAGAGTTATTTTCAGGGTTAAATAACTTGTGTGCAAGGTAGGCCAGAGCTATTGATCAATCAATGAAGCCAGCACTGTAAAGGGAGCTAGAGAGTAGCCATGAAGGGCCTGGGCTTTTTTGTGGGGTTTTAGATTTGAATGAGTCTCTACCTTTCTGAACGCTGGTTTCTTCATCACTAAATGTGGCTGGTAGCACACCTCTGCTTACTGAGAGAATGGAAGTGGGGGTTGTGCTGATACTGTGAAGTGCTTCACAAATAACCAAGGGCTATACAAACACAGCATTGTTGTTATTTAGACTAAATGTTTCAAAACAGCACTTTCTTATAATTACAAATCAGCTTCCCGACTCCGGGTAGTGCAAGGGCTTTTTGGACAGTGTTTGTGCCTGTGCAGAGTACAGAGAGGGCCCTTGGAAGGGCGATTTGCCTGCCTTCCCTCCTAGAGACCAGCCTGCTTTCCACTGCCAGAACCACACAGGGAGTGAAGACTCCTGGGCTGGGAGAGAAGCTGCGCGCGTGGCCAAGCCTCATTCTGGGTGGACTGTCTAATTCGGGTCTCAGCAGTGTCCCCATGGTCAGGGTATGGCGTTCAGTTCCAAGTGTTCAGAAACTCAGGAGCATAGTTTACTCAGAGTTGAGTCTGCTTTTAGGAACTCACTCACATTTACCAAAACCAGGCAGGTCTGACTTTGGAAATGCAGCTCCAGTAACTGGAACTCTGCTACCAATCTCAGAACTTCCTGCGTAGCATAAAGAATCTTGGCAAGGAAATTATTACTCAGAAGGGTTCTTGGGAAAGTGGAGTAATGAGAATCAATAACTGTTATGGATGCCTAATCCGAGCTGTAGAAAAGGCAGATGAATGAACTGTCCCTGTCCTTACAGTATGGCTACGGCAACCCATTCTCTACATCTAAAGGTCTGCATAAATTCTCACCAGCCCTGACAATTAATCAGAATGTTTGCAGTAGGAGCTGACTCACAAATTCCAGGATCCTTGTTTGCAGAGGTGTGATTGAATATTTGGTATCTGTACATTATAATCTTTCCCTTGTGCACTGAACTACATAGGCATGGGGAAAATCTATCCAGTTTCTATTTGCCTATACTTCTTGCAAATTTCTATTCTTTTAACCTTTGCTATCCAGTTACCATGTTGTAGGAAACATGGTGTTATGGCTTGTCTCTAGATGTCCTCCTGAAGCCGAATCCTTCATAGGTGGAGTTTTTTGGAGGTGGCTAGATCTGAGGTGTGTGATGCTAGCATTAAGGGTATAATGCTAGGATTAGGATGATGCTGGCATTAAGGGTGCCCCACCATGGGTGTGAGTGCTACCCACTCTAAGGATGGTTAGCCTGGATAGAATATAAGGGACAGAAAGAGGACTGCTGCTGCCTCTTGACTGCTCCATGATGCCCCTCTGCCACACCACTGTGCCTTGGAGGCAACTGATTATGGACTGAAATCTCTACAAACTGTGAACCAAAATGAACCTTCCTCCGTTAACTCTGGGTGTCAGATATTTTGAGAAAAGTAACTAAGACACATGGTCCTTTTCCTTTTTACCTGTTTCTTCCTTACTAAACACTTTACCTTTTGGTTGCTAGACTGGAAAGAGCATTTGCCATGTTTTCTCAGGAATACACGATAAATCTCTTTGGGATGTGTTTCTTCTACAAATAGCTAACTTTTCCTTTTACAGTCTTTACTCATGTAATGATACTATTCATCTTTAAATTTTGAGTTAATTTAGCTTAACTGTGCTCTCACTATAGAATGTTATATTTTACACAATCCCATGACTGTATTTTTGTATTAATCAGTGAAGACTTTGGAATAGTTGCTGGCTTTTGAGGGATTCTTCAATTTTTGTTGGTTTGACACTGGCGTTGATAACAGTGACATGTAAATTGTCGGTATTTATTATGTTGCACATTCTATTCGAAGTGACAGATGAATCTGCTCCTTTATATGTATTTACTGATGCTATACTAATGTGTAAGCAATCTTAAATATTAGATAGCCTACTTACAATTAAATACTATTTGTTGTTCATCTAAGTTCCTTTTAAGAGAGTTTGAGGTGTAGAACTATTTCCTCTAGATTGTTTATTTGGTTTTGGACACCTGAATATGCAGCAAAGAGTGAATAATTGTTTTACTGTACATTTACTCAATTCTTAAGTTTCCATTCTAAGGGTTAGCTAGGTATCTGTGGGGAAGAGCAGGGTTAAAACAATCAGTAATGACTACTCACAGATTCTATCTTGTCATCCATGCAGTACTTTGCACACTTACACCTCCACATGCTCTGCCTACCGTTCCCAGACATTCCATTTGAGATTTTTAATAAAATTAGGAACAATGAATCAATGTTGATGCCAATAATTAAAACTACACATTGCAGTAGGTTTTCCATTTAAATTACTTGAATAATTAACCAAGCAACTCTTAACAAACCATCAGTATTAGTATTAGCTATGACAGCAGAGAAATATAAGAAATACTTTCTAATCTTTTAGCTTCCCCCTTCTTCAAAGGAAGAGTGTGCTTGAGCGACTTACTCTTTGACAATGTGCAAATAAATTAGAAATTGAATATTTTATTTGATGATCAACTATGTTTCAAATTAGTTGTTCAGATTACCAGATACAAGCATGAAAAATCGGTTAAAAAAAATTAAGCATTAACTGTTCCTTTCAATAAACCATTAGACATCAGCAGTACAATTATTCAAGCTATCCTCAACTGTGCTGCTTCTTTAGCTAAATTTAGTCAATAAACATTTCTTAAATAACTACTTCATGCTAAGTAATCTGGATGATACAAAAGAAATAAAAAACATAGCCTCTGACTTAAAGAAATATATAGACCTCTTTAGGAGGCAAAAACAAAAAAAATAAATATTAGACTAGTTAAGATGTTATATTATCAAGGGCTAGAATATGTGCCAAAGTTCAGGGTCTGGAGAATCTGAGAAAAGAAAAATGACAATGTGGAAGGCTGTGGAGAAAGTCGGGCTCGAGGGCAGAGAGGAGGAAGGAGCATCAGGAGGAAGCACATGGACGTGAAAATGACGTATGAACCTGAGCTGGGGGGTAGCAGTGCAGGCTGATGGGGTGGGACGGATGAACAATACGACCCAAATGAGTGTCAGTGAACGCTGGTAGACCTAAAGGTGGAAAAATAGGCAGGATCTTGAATGTCAAAATGAGAATTTGACATTCAGCATAAAAGTATTGTAATGCAGTATAAGAACCATTGTTGAACTCCTACCATTTTGTATGGTGAAGCTCTGCATGATTTCCCACTTTTTTTAAATTATTATTATTTTTTACTTGTTCCTGTTTTTGATTGTTTGCTCAGTTTTCCATTCTTATTTCTAATGAACTGAGCAACTTTGGTGAGGATAACAGCATGTAATGTAGCAACCGCTGTAAATTTCTATTATTTTGTCTTGAGGTCATGTATCATTTTTGTTGTTTTTGTGTTGTTTTGATTTTGTCTTCATTGTCTTTTTGTCAGTTTTTTAGTTTTTAAAATAAAAAAAAGTAAAAGTATTGTCAAAGCCATGGTACTTTCCTGAACAGAGGAATTGCAGGAAGATGACATTAGCAGCCGATACATGATGACTTACGGACATCTTACACTTGCTATTCTTGGGTGGGGGAGGCATGAGAATTTGCATCTCAGATCCAGATAGAAATTAGAGGAAGAGGGAACCTCAGAACGGGAATCTT